ATTGTAATCTGTTATTCATGGCCCTTAGATGTGGCCAGGATTCCTTGTCCTTGGGAAGTGAGCATGCTTAGTGTGTTTAGGAAGTTGTATGCATGCCCATCTGAGACTTTCTTCCCTTTTCCAGCAGTGTTCCCCCAGAAGGTCGTATTCTGCCATTTTGTCTCTTCATGCACATATTCAGGAAGTTGCATGTCCCTGGCACCTGACATTCCTAGTGAGTGGGGGAAGAGCCGTCTCCTGCCCCACTCATGCCTGTCTAACTACCTGTAACACTTTGATTGAGTCTTACAAATACTGATAAGTAGTGTTTTTACTTCATTCAGTACTTCATAATTTCCTAAGAGTTCCTCTACAATAAAAGAAATATTTATCACAGGTTCCAAATATAAGAGATTTTTTTAAAGCTGTCCTTTTGTTATGAATTTCTCACTTCACTGAATTATGGTCAAAGAACATAGTCATAACACAATGCCAATTCTTCAGGATTTATTAATGCTTCTGTTGTGGCCTTGTCTATGGTATCTCCCATGAATTGACTAAAAGAATACTTATTGTTGTCGTTGGGTATATATTTCTACATACAGTTAACATGTTTTTAATGTGTTACTTAAATCTAATATATTAATAGGTTTGTCTTCTAGATCTCTCAGCTTAAACCACAACTTTTGATATATCTATTTTTCCTGAGCATTGTTGTGTTACATGTTTTAGGGCTGTGTTACTGAAACACCAGAGGTTTGGTCTAGATCCTGCTTCTCACTACACAGAAAGCCAATCACTGAGGCAATGAGCATTGCCAGGGAAGAAGGCTTTACGTGGGGGTTGTAGTCCAGAAGATAGGAGATCAGTCTCAAATCCATCTTCTCAACTGATTAAAATTAGAAGTTAATATAATGGGGAAGAAATGTAACTATGTGTAAGAAAACAGGCATTAGGGAATAGTGAAGAAGAGGAGGTGGTGAAAAGGAAGCAGATGGTTGAATAGGCAATCATGAGGGATGAGGGCGCTGGTGTCTTATTGTTCAGATGCAATAGCCTCATAAGTTTCAGTCCCTTGACATTATTTGGGAGGACTGATGATTGGTGTTCTGAGAAAGGAACTCGTATAAGACAAATGTAACATTCTCAAGCTTTGAGATTGGGAGGGGCAATTTCTATGTTTATTCAAAAGAAACCATAACCTCATGTCTGTGGGACAACTGGGCCCATTTCAGTTGCACTGATATTCTGCAAATTACATGCATGATCATCATACCTTCTTGAGCTAATATTTCTTTTACCAGTAAATTATATATTTCATTATTCCTACTATACTTTCACCTTAATGTCTACTTGGTGCATTATTAGAATAATTATCTCAGATTTCACTCAGATTTACTTTTCCTCCTTCATATCGTTGTTTAAACGCCACATTTTCAAAGAGGCCTTTCCAGGTCTCTGGCTTATTTGTTTGTTTTCTGCCCATGAATGCTTATTCATATTCAAACGAACACACTCAGTCATGTATGCATGCATACGTGTGTGAGTAGTTATCTCAGTTTGTATTTGTTCTTGATTTCCTTCGGTAACAATAAATGGGGCTTCCTTCTGAAGGACTTAGGTTAATTAAACCATAAAGAGGCAATAGCTTGAATTCAGATAGTTCATTTTATTCTATAGCCAACCATATATTTTTACTAAGTAGGGATTATATGATTATATTCCCAAATGAGAGAGATATTTTGTTTTCTTGTGCTATGTCTTGGTTTTGATGGGGAAATTTCTTTAATTCTGTCTTCCACTAAGCAACAGCACCCAAGCATTCTGACAACTTCTCTCCATGACTACAAAGATTCAGAAGTGAATTGACTGTGGGGACAGTTTAATCTTTCAGGTGTCATAGAAAGTTTCTTGCAGTTTCTACACAGAGTGTGGGTAGTAAGATATATTTCCATCTGAGAGTCCTTGAGGACAAATCACTTATAGTGGATGCTAACTTATTTATAATTATTAGGAAGTCTTTAGAAGGTTTAAAAAAACTGAGGCCAAAGTCATTAAATCAATGTGATCTTGAAATCTGGACTAATCTGAAGACTAGATGGGGGTGCATTATGAAATTTCTTAAAAGTATAAATATTATATAAACAGTAAAAGACAGCTTTCAGTCCTGCTCAGACCAAATGATGTCACCTCATCATGTATTTGTTGCCTTCTCCTACCATGTTCTTTCCTGTCTCCCTGTATGCTGGCTAAACTGTCCCTGTGTGGATTTACTCAGGTAACTTCCAGGCCTCTGTTTTATCAAATTGCAACACCCTACCCTCCTTACCCCTCTCCCTGCTTTACTTTCCACTATAGTATTTTTCAAGTGTCAACAAAGACAGAATGTAACTACTCATGTAGTTTGTTGTCTGTCTTCCCTGAGTTTAACTCAGAAAATACACTAAACAGATATTTCATCTGTTTTGCTCTCTGCTGTAACATCACAGTTGGAAGAGGAGCTCAACACCTAGAAGGCTTTCCATAAATATTTGTTGAATGAATAAACACTTCCATATCCCTCTTTTTTACATGTATATCTTGTAGACAGTGATTTCAGTTATTTGCATGTTTGTTTTAAGCCCCTATTCCCATGTTTCTGTATTCTGCTATGTGTTAAGGGGACTGAAAGCCTGCAAGTGACATTTCCTAGGATCTCATGCCAACTGGCTTCCTGTCAAGTTCTGCTAACGGGAATCCTAATAGGAATTCGTAAGTTGGAGGAGGGAAAAAATATCTCTCACCTGTTTTCAGTTTGTGACAGTCTTCAGGGGCAGCAGCAGCAGTGACAGAACAACAGAGCTACAGCATAGACACAGAGGACAGCACTGGTATTTGTTACAGTGTAGGTTATGGGTCTATCCCTGGCCAAAAAGGAAAGTCTTTGGTGCACTCTGAATAGGATGTTACAGCAGCTCCATCAATTTATTGACAGGTATAGAAACCTGGACTTTAGCCCAGAATTGTCAACTTGTCAAAGTTTCTGTTCTTTGGCTATCACCCCATCTTTTTTTTATTTTTTTTTTTGCTTCTGCTGATCATCCTCTGCATTTTGCTCATTCAACACCTGTGTGACCAATTACCTGAATTTCCTTTAAATATCTTGAGTTTTTTCCTTGATAGGAATTTTGACTAATAAAAACAACATATCATTAAATCTTATTTTTAATTCAATCTCTGTCTCTATATTTTAACTCACAGTAATTAATATTACTCTTATAATTTAGGTTTTCTTGTGTGTAAAGCTTAGTGTTCTATATTACCATATCTTAATTTTTTTCATTTTTTTCCATTCCTACTTTAGATATTAGGAAGGTTACTGTTTTTCAGTTGACTGAAAGTTAAAATTTATGCTTTCTAAGATGTGTGTGTTTTATAGTTTAATGTCTTGAAAACCAGAATGGTTTGAAGTGTATGGCATTGTATGATCATTACTGGCCAGGTGGTAATTGTGACATAGTTGCCACTTCCTGAACACGTAGAAATATCAAAAGTTTGAGCATCAAAACCCACAGAATTAGTGTCAGCAGTCTGAAGAAAATCCCAGAGAAAATATTGAAGAGTAGAGTATTTTTAACCCCTAGAAATGAAATGATATGCGGAAAGAAGTTGACAGAGGTGGTGAACTGGAGAACTGTAGCAACATCCCTAAACGAAGCCTAAAGTAGACCTCCTCTAACTGCAAAACAGAGTAGTTTTACTTCTTCTATAAATTCTTTTAAAAATATGACATCATCACTCTTTATGGTACAGTGAATTATTTTGTCCAGAAAAATACAAATATCAATGATGCTAAGTTAAGAAGTAGCTTAGAAGAGTTGGACTCTTGTAAAGAAGTTTTAATAATATCTTATCTGATTTTACTTCATTTCTTCTTTCTGTGTTTTCATAAAATGATGATGTCTAAAAAACTCTTTGAATATAAATAAATATTCTATCTGATAAGAAAGCACATAGTGTCATAATTGGATCCATCCTTCATCATGGTAAATGAAATGATGGCACATTTTACAACTGATGGCATCTTAAACTCTATGTAACACAGCAGACATACTATTTTTAATTCTGTCTAATTAAAATTTAGAGTTGTTTTATTTGCAACTATAAATTTCTTAAATTTATTACTGTGTACATATTTTTCTTGAACTGGACAATTACTCTCAGCCCACACTGGTCTCCAGCACTCCTTATATCCCCATTATTTTAGAATCACCAAGAATTTTAATTCTGGAATGTTATGGGGTTCATTTGTTTAATTTGTTTGTATCTGTTTGGTTATATTTTTGTTTATTAAGATAATAGTATTGCTAAGCTATAACTCCACAGTGTTACTTCTTCTTAGATTTATTTCTCTTTTTTGCTAGAATTCTGTCTCCAAGAGTAATTTCAAAAGTCATTTTTGTGTGGCAAATTTTCTGAAGTTCATTGAGCTGAGCATCAGAAAATAAAGATATTTCACTTTCGTAGCTAAATATTAGTCTATTTGAAAAATTCTACACTCAAAATTCTTCACCTTCAGTATTTTTTTCATTTAAGTCTTTATTTCATCTAGTAATAACTTTCTCCCCATGCCATTTATTAAGTAAAGATATCCCTTCAGTGTCAGTTTGTAATTCTTCTATTAGCATATACTTAGTTCAGAGATACATCAATGCATATTCCATTCCATTTTTCTGCACATTATTTTGTCAGTACTACCCTATAAACTGTTAGAACTCTGATAGAGTAACATGTGGGATTATTTCATTACAGTATCTCCATATATCAACTACCAGTTCTAGAACATCTTTTCTTCCTCTGCAACCACCCCCGCCTTTGTTTGCAGAGGACAATCCCCAAATTACATATAGTTAAACTCTATAATATCTTGCAGATGTAAGAATATAACCATGAAGAAACTAAAAGAGCTGGTTTTGTCTCCTCCAACTACCAGAAGTGACTTCATAAATAAAAACAGAAAGAAAAAGACGCAAATCTCTTAGGAGGATGAGAGCTGTTTCTAGGGAAAATGACATGTTCTTCAGTCCTGATTGTCCCCATCCCCAGAAGAATTTCTCTTGCAATTTGTGACTTGAAGATGGTGAAAATTTCTCATCTGAATCTCTCATGGCAACTGATGCTCAGCCAACTTATGCAAAGGAAAAATAAACTCAAATGAGCAAGTAGCAATATGCATGTAACACACACACATATCTAAAACACAACATACATATAGTGGTACAGTTGAAAGGGTATGAGGGAATGCTTAAATATTTTCACAAATGTGCAAGATTGCGTGTCTTTTCTCCAAAAATGGGCCATAAGCCAGCCACGAAAGGTAAAGGGGCAGGGGAAGGAAATGGCTGGCTGCCACCTTTAAGGAACAGCTTGGCAGAGAATTGAGCCTATATCAGTGGGGACTTTTGGGCTCACACTTGGTAGACCTCTTCTCTAGAATCCCTCATGGCTGGCAGTGAGGCGGGTGCCCAGCTGGGTCCCCACGTGGGCCACATGACAGAATCAGCTATGGGGTAGCACTAGCTCCACAGGCCAGTTGGGGGAGGACACAAGCAGCTGGAGCCCACAGAGCTTTGTGACCTAGCTGGTGACACTTGATAATTAAACTATGATTGTGACTTTAAAGTTCTCTGGCTGAGTGCAGTGACTCACGCCTGTTATCTCAGCATTTTGGGATGCCAAGACAGGTGGATTATTTGAGGTCAGGAGTTCAAGACCAGCCTGGCCAACATGGTAAAACCCCATCTCTACTAAAAATACACACACACCCACAAAATGCTGGGCGTGGTGGTGCGCAACTGTAGTCCCAGCTACTTGGGAGAGTGAGGCAGGAGAATCGCTTGAACCCGGGAGACAGAGGTTGCAGTGATCTGAGATCATACCACTGCACTCCAGCCTGGGCAACAGAGCGAGACTCCATCTCAGAAAAGTAAATAAATAAAATAATAAAATTATCTAACCAAGTTTACTACAGTCAAATAAACCATATAGCTTACACTGTTGCATAATGCCAGCTCAAAAATAGAGATAATATAGGTTGTGATTAAAATCATTTGGGATTTTTGGTATGGGATTATCATTTGGCTTGTGGGATTATGCTGGGATTATGGTTTGTGAGTAAAATCATGTACAAATATGATTGATAACTGTTCAGTTAATTCTTATAATGTTCTACTAAGATACAAGAGATTTTATTTTTACTTTTTCAACATTTCTGGAATATACAGTGGTAATACAAATCAAATGTATATCATTTAACACAATAATTCCATGTCTAGGAACCCATTTGAAGATACTATGTGTAGATGTGCTTATTAAAGTATAATTTTTTATTGGCTACAAATAGATTTTTATTTTAAGTATTTAATAATAGAAACATATGACTATGATTTGATTTTGTCACCACTTTAGACATCCCCAAAACTTTGTCTTACAGGGATTTTCTTTAACTCTCTTGTAACCAGGGAGGCTTGCATTAATGAACAAATGTGTGGGTGATTTGTTTACTTATAACTTTTAATTATAAATTTCATATTTTACAGCAGTTTGGACAGAAAAAAAAAATCTATCTTGAATCATTTCTGTCATTTAGGCTATTCTAAATTTACTTTTTAGCCTAATATTTAATGGAGTGGGGGAAGATTTTATAAAAATTAAAAAATAAGTTTTGATATCTCTTTTAGGATAACAAACTTTACATATAAATTAATAATTAAGTTTTATAAGCTATGTTATTCTAATTTTGTATGTCTTATTTAGATGTTTGGACTCAACCAGTCGAAGGCAACAGCAGTTATCTTAGATCATGTATCTTTCCATTTCTTTTCTTTTTTTTTTTTTGAGACAAGGTCTCACTCAGGCTGGAGTGCAGCCGTGTAATCAAGGCTCACTGCAGCCTCTACCTCCTGGGCTCAAGTGATTCTTCCACCACAGCCTCCCAAGTGGCTGGGACTACACACAAGAACCACCATGGCTGGCTAATTTTTTCTTTATTTTCTGTAGAGATGAGGTCTCACTACATTGCCCAGGCTGGTCTTGTACTCCTGGACTCAAGCAGTCCTCCCACCTCACCCTCCCAAAGTTTTGGGATTATGGGTGTCAGCTACAGAACCCAGCCATTTCTTTTTTAAGGATTTGTCTTTGAATTATATATATTGATACATTATTAAGCATAGCTAAAAGAGCCCATGAGTATTATATTTTTATTTAAATATAAATAACAGGTTTTAGCCCATTCAATTATTCTTGCAATGAATTCTCAACTTTGTCTGAAATTAAAATTGCAACCGAAGCTTTCTTTTTCAAATTTGAGGAATGCTGTCCATCCATTTATTTTCAATAATTCTGATTCATGTAGACGTAGATAATTAGATTATTTTGCTCATTACACTCAAATTGCCAATGTTTATGTTCAGTAGAATGCTTTATATTTGTTGACAAAATTGTCATGCTTTTCCTTACTTCTGTCAGTTTGTTTTATGCTTTATTTTCTGGAAGAAGTAGTTTTACATTTTTCTGTTTCTATTTATTTCTTTAATTGTATTAGTCAAGGTTCTCCAGAGAAACAGAACCAATTTCATTTGTAGATATATAGATAGATAGATGATAGATAGATAGATAGATATAAATATATGCATATATACACAAATAAACACACACATATATATATACATATGCACACACATGAATATATATATAAAGATTTATTATGAAAAATTAACTCATGCAATTATGGAGGCTGAAAAGTTCTAGAATCTGGCATCTACAATATAGAGACCCAGGAAAGCCAGTGGTTTAATTCTAGTCTGAGTCCACAGTCTTGAGAACCAGGAGGTAATGATGGAACTGTGAAACTCCCAGTGTCACTCATGGAGAGCATTGTTTACAAAAGCCTGGCCTCCCGCTTACTTCCTCTCTCACTATACGAAACGCCTGCTCCCTATTTGCCTTCCACTGTGAGTAAAAGCTTTCCGAGGCTTCACCAGAAGCGGAGCTGATGCTGGTGGCATGCTTATACAGCCCGCAGAACCATGAGCCAAATAAACTTCTTCTCTTTATAAATTACCCAGTCTCAGGCATTCCTTTACAGAAACACAAAACTGGTTAATACACCATTTCTTTTGAAAATATTGATTGCATTTAGTTTAACAAACAATATTTACAATAATAATTTAGATTGACCTGAAATACTGTTTTTGATGTACACAACCTGGTTTTGTTTTCATTTAATGACCTATTATTGTGTTTTCAACTTTGATTTATCTCCCACTTGACTAATATATGGCTTCCATAAAACTTTCAAGGGTACACATGCAATATTTTTTGGAGAACTCTACATAACCTAACCATGGCATTTTAGTAAATAGCAACTTATCTAATGCAAAATTCCTGAGTCTAGAGGACAAGCCCCTGCCACAGATGTGGGTGTCAGTGACCGGTCTTGCATTGCTCATTGGGGTGGGCTAAATGACAGGCCCGCCAAATATGTCATTATTCACAGAAGCTGCGAATATGTTACTTTATGCGGCAAAAAGTACTTTGCAGATGTGATTAAATTTAAGGGTCTCAATGCAGAGATCATCCTGGATATCCAAGCATGCCCAATGTAATCACAAGTATGCTTATAAGTGAAGAAGGAAGCAAGGAGAGGACAATCAGAGAAGCAGATGTGACAGTGGAAGCAGAGGCCAGAGTAATGCAGGGCAATGAGCCAGGGAATGTGGGCTATAAATTAGAAAAAGCAAGGAGAAGGATACTCCTCTGGAACATTCAGGGGGAATATAGCCCTACTTGCACATTTTAGAAATCTTTCATTCAGAACATAAGATAATGAATTTGTGTTATTTTCAACAGTTAAGTTTGTCATCATTTGTTACAGCAGCAACAGGAAACAAAGCCACTCTCTGTCGATGACCATACCGTGCCATACCACATAAAAGCCACAACGTGTTGAGGCTTCTGGGCTAAAATAGAGAGAATTTCCTCTCCATGTATAAGGGCTCTCACTTATTGGTATGGAATTTGGCTACTATTGCATCAATTTTTAATGTTCTTTAATGCTTTTTCCACAGGGTCCCCATTCCCATGATAATCCTCAGAATCTCCAGAGTGCTTTCTCATTTCCAATTAGTCAGACCTACTTGTTCCTGCTTTACAGACTTCATTTAACCCCTTAAACTGGGAGATACTACAATCAAACAGCATACATTCAGTTTGCTTCCAACCCAGCCCCTGTGGGCAACCAGACATCTGTGTAACATCCAAAACATGCAAGCAATCCTTGGTTTGCAAAAAAGGCTGGCACACTCCTCCAGTCCTGTCTAAGGCTATGTGGCTAAAGGCAAGACCTCCTGCCCCAGTTTTAGGCCACAGGTGCTTATCTTGGATGCTGTCATTCTTCAAGTTTCATGGGAGAATGTATCCCCTACATGGCTGCCTTCCTCTGCATAACCATGCTCAGTCAAAGTAACTCTTTAAGCTCCCAGAAGTATAACACTTTAGATTTGCTAACGTTTTATCTCCTCTGGTTTAAAAGGGCTAGACATGAATTAATTTTGCTGTCAGCTCATACTTACTCCAGGACTGCTATGCATGTGCGAAGACCAGTTCACAGCTCCGATCTACTTTCAAATACCTCGTGATGGGACTATCAAGGACTTCTCTGGTCTTTTCTGTTTACAAGCCTTGATCAAACCTGGCTCTGTCTATACAACGAGTTTTAATAACTTTTAATCTCAGGGAAGTTTAGGATTTCTATCCTTTGTGTCTCCAAAAGAAACCAAGCTCCTTATGAAATGTTCCCCAATTCTGTCTCTGCAAATATCAACCTCCATTTATCACATTTTAAAAGAATAATCAAAAATTAAGTTGGATCCACTGTCCACCTTGCTATATACACATATACAAACACAATCTCATTGTCCTCAAAGAAGCTTCTTTGACCACCCAAATCTCACAAAGATTTTGTGTGTAAATAATCCTCGCAGTTTTTCTTGCTACTCTTCTGTCGCTAAGACATGATGCGGGATCTAGAGGCCAGAGGACTACCTCTAAAACAAATGTACATGTTTTTGCCTTCTGTTACCCTCTATTTCTGTCTTAGATAGCATTTCGATTGGACACCTTTTGGTCCTCCTTTCTCTGTTTCATGTTCTTTGGATCCCTCCTAGCATTCAGTTTGTATTAGTCTGTTTTCACACTGCTAATATAGACATACCTGAGACTGGGCAGTTTACAAAAGAAAGAGGTTTAATGGACTTACAGTTCCACATGGTTGGGGAGGCTTCACAACCATGGTGGAAGGCAAGGAGGAGTGAGTCACATCTTACATGGATGGTAGCAGGCAAAGAAAGAGTTTGTGGAGGGGAACGCCTCTTTTTAGAACCAACAGATCTCCTGAGACTTATTAACTATCATGAGAACAGCACAAGAAAGACCAGCTTTCATGATTTCATTACCCTCCATCAGGTCCCTCCCACAACACATGAGAATTCAAGAGGAGATATGGATAGG